ATCTGGAACGAGTTCATATTTTAGAAAATGAACGGGGAACGGAACGAGTTCCATTTAAAAAGGAACTTTCCCAACACTGTTTATATTCGGCAAGTCCGATTTATTTATTATATTGTGGCATATATTTATTTATATTCGGCAAGTCCGATTTATTATATTGTGGCATATTTTTACTTAAATTCGGCAAAGTCCGACTCAGTTCATTAGAACATTATTATATATTATTTTATTCGGTATAACCGATTTTGTGGCATATTTATATTACTATTATTTTCGGTAAATCCGATTATTTGATTTTGGTATATATTTTATTATTATTCTCGGCAAGTCCGTTAATTAATTTAATTTGTGGCATATATGTATATATATATATTATTATTATTTTCGGCCAGTCCGATGCATTACGTTATAGCATATTTGAATTATTTTATTTGAAAATTATGGCTTACTTATAATGTTAATTTTAATTAACTATTTTCTTTAATACTTATGGCTTATTATTATTATTCCGTTCGACTAGATCGACATATTTTTATAATGGCATAATTTTATTCTAATTAACAAACAATGTTATAATATAACTTTTATTATTTCGATCGGCTTAGCCCGACTTCCCTTTATTTATTATATATTATGAAATTACTTTTATTCGATACTATAAGGTGATATAAAATGCACGATACACGAGGTTTAAGAAAATTTACTTCTAAATAAACTATTTGAAAAATAAATAGTGTCGAATTTTATAAAATTGGATTTGAAATAATATTTGTGGCAAATAAAACCCTTGGTTATTATTATTAAATTTAAAAAATTATTTTATTGTGGTACTTACCAAACATGATTTCCAATATAACATTCCAGGCATCTTCAGTCCAAATAGGTCAAACATAAAATGAACAACACTATACAGTCAACGGTCGCCACATCCCCACATAATCCCCTATAATCTTAGCTATAATCTTACGTGACAAATTTGAATAACGGACTCTATTCATATGTTTACAACAATAAATCCTTTTGTATAACATATTATTACCTTATTAAATAGCCATTACTTATAATTACAATTGATACTAATAGAGCGAGCCAGTTAATATTTTTAAATAAATTATTTCTTTATCAAATCAATTCGACATGCACATTTAATATATACAAGTTAACTAAGTTAGGGTTACAGCAGCAAAATCGTGGTCTTTTAAACAACCGTTATTACGGCTACCCTTATTATAGTATAATTTATATAAAACAATCGTCCCGCGACTAAGGCGCAAGCAGCCTAAATCAAAATACCCTATTGTGTGTATTTCTTCTTTTTTTTTATATATATAATAAATGGACACTGAATTTTATGAGATGGTCACTGTGTTTGTTTCGCATATATTTTACTGTATACATTAGTACTATTATCGAGCATGCTTAACTTAATTTAAGACACCTATTGTAAATGTATGCAAGTTTTTGACAACGTTTTGGCTACATACATTAGGTTAACTTAGCTTATTTTTTTTTTTTTTTCATAAATAACATAAATTATTATTATTTTTTAATTCATGAACATTTATCATTTATTGTGCATGCATTGCTTATAATTGTATTCGGTACCCCAACATCCCCTTTTAATTATTAAATTTTTTTTAATAATAAATATTAGTGTTCTGAACAGACCTCCAGAACACGGAGAATACTCTTTAGGGCCCTGA